AAAGAGACATTTTGTTGAAAAACACAATATAAATTAAATAATGAGAACATTAGAAATCAATACAAAAATGCCCAGATGTATATGTTGGGGAACGAGAATCCACACGGTACAGAGACATCACTGTGTCCTAAAGCTGAGGCGAAGGAACCAGAGAAGGCCTAAACTAGATGAATGGTACCACATCCATCAACAGGTCCCAGGTTTTGGATGAATCTAAAGCAAAGTTCACGGGTCAGTCAATTCTAGCCTTGTTTAAACAGTCCAAGGTTTACTCTGAGCCCAAACTATGCCCAAAACATTTCAATTTATGTCATGACCTAGTCCAGCTGGGCAAACGTTTTAAAACAAGCCAGCACAGCTGGCTCATATTAAAGTCTGGAGGTCCCAGTAGGTCTCAGGTTTTAGTCCAGGTGCTGAGATAGTCCTTTAGTGTCTGAGTTTGTATTTAGGTCCTCTGCTATCCAAGCTGTATCTGTCCAGAGTAAATGGTAAGTACAAGCATGATGCCAAACCCAGTGAGCAGCCCTGCGTTCTGGATGGCGAAAGTTAGCAGAGATCCACTTCCTCCGGCCTCCTCTTCTTCACGACTCACCTCATTCATCTCAGGAAACTGCAGGAACAAAGGAAGATGGAGACACATGGATTGTAAGAAAAAATTATAAAATCAACAGCATCAATGATAACCACTTGACATTCGACATTCTCTGTTTTCATAGTTATCAAGTTAGACAGGCATCAAGTTTCTTATTCTCACCCATTTATTTGATATTTGATCAAAAAATACAGCAAAAAAAAAAAAAGTAAAAAATTATTACAATTAAAAATAACATTTTTCTATTTTAATATACTTTAATGTGAATTTTCATCAGTCATTACTTCATTTTTTCTGTCACACGATCCTTCAGAAATCATTCTAATACGCTGATTTGATGCTCAAGAAACTTATCAATGCTGCTTAATATTTTTGTTAATATAAGTCTCTGGTGTCCCCAGAATGTGTCTGTGAAGTTTCAGCTCAAAATACTCCACATATCATTTATTATATCATTTTGAAAATGCCTATTTTGAGTGGAAGCAGAAACACGCTGTTTTTCGTGTCTCTTTAAATGCAAATGAGGTGCTGCTCCCCACCAACTTTTCCAGAATAGAGCTGCGCCATTACAGCTTGGACCTGCTAAAAACATCTGTTTTGGTTCTGATTATCCTGTTTATCGCACTGAAATCATGCATTTTAAACCATATTAGTTTAAACTTCTTATATACGGTTTTCTGAGAGCACATGGACAGAAAGCGGCTGTCACAGCATGTGAGTACTAAACTAAGTTCTCATTCACACACAAGTTGTAAAAACACACGAGTTACAAAAACAGTCGGTTATGTCTGTGAAGGTAAACTGCTGGTAAATTGATCGCATGTTTATTTTAGATCTGTGTGGCAGGCAGCAGCAATATACAGTAAATAAATCAATAAATCCACTGCTCTCTTGTGTCCTCTGAGGCTGGGACTCTAAACAATGTTCTGTGCTCATCTGTGCAGCCAAAGACAGAACAGTTAGCATGTTTTGCTCAAACTTTCGCCATGGCATTAGAACTAGTACACCGTTGTCGCTTGCGAAATCAAAT